AAGAGGGATGGAGAGCAAGGGATTGGAGTTGGGAGGATGACCAAGGCAGATCAAAAGAATGTCTTGAGACGTGCCTTGAAGGAGACAAGGGAGGGAGCGCTGCAGAGGGACTCCGGGATGGAATTCTAGTGGGTGGGAGCAGAAAGGTTGAAGGCCCGACCACTGGCTTCCATATGTGTGTATCTGACACATCCATATTGTGCCCACTTTGTAAAGCTTGCTCATCCATGCCTACTATAGGCTGATTGACAGCCGTTTGCCCACCCAGGCTGGAAGGATTAATTGGCAAGATTTGGAGAATAAATTTAACCCATTGAAACTATTAATGCCTTTCTTCCCTTTTAGGCACCGAAATGCTAATGTGGTCCTTAAAGGGTTAATTGTATAACTTTATTTTTCCCTCTTTGAAAATGAGATCATTTGAATGAAAACAGAAACCTGAGAGCATTATAGTAACAACAAATTGCTGTTTCCTCCCTATTAAAACATCACTGTGATCCAGTAAAAATAGTTCCCGACAAGTATATTAATTGGACATTGTTTTTTGTACAAAGTGCTTTATGGAAGCTTATAATCTGGTGCTTACACTCTGACTAAAGGCGAGAGATTGATTTTGTTCCTGCATCGATTTTATTTGTCTCAAATCCTTTCTCCATGGTTCAGTAGAAAGCTATAAACTGATTTTTCTCTTCCTGTGAGTCTCATGCAGATATTGGATTTCAGCGAGTCCGCAAGTTTGGAGCGCATGATAGCAAGCAGGTAGGCTAGGTAGCTTCAACACCGAGCAGGGGCAGTGAAGAAGCTGAATAACAATGAGATTAGTGTAGACAAAAGGGAGTTGCTCTGAGTGTCCAGGCCAACATCCCCCAAATAACAAAATGTTCAACAAATGATATCCTCTCTATCCGTGATCAGGGCTCCCTCTGCCTCCTCATCCTCCAGGACCTCTCCACCGTGTTTGACATAGTCGATCACGCCATCCTCCTCCGCTGCCTTTCCTCCGTCATCCACTTCAGTGGGACCGCACTCGCTTGATTCGAGTCCTACCTTACAAAAGGCCAGCACTACATTCCTGCAAATAGCTTTTCTTCTCGCTTCCACCCGATCACCTGCATGGCACCCAAAGATCCATGCTTGGCTCCCTACTCTTCCTCATCTCTATGTTCCCTCTCAGTAATGTCATTCACAGAAACGGGGTTAACTTCCACATGTATGCGGATGACACTCAACTCTACTTTTCCACCTCCAGCTGTGACCCTCAGTCCCCTGATGTTCTGTCAGCTTGTCTGTTGGACATCAAGAGCTGGATGAGCACAAATGTCCTGCAGTTAAACACCAACAAGATAGAAGCCATACCCTTTGGCTCCCGTCGACGTCTTCTGTCCCACGGTTCCAACCTCCTCAACCTACCCAACCTGTCCTTAAAACTCTCCAAACCCATGCACAACTTAGGCAACAGTTTCAATCCTAATTATCCTTCCTCCCCCAAATCTGGTCCCTGACCAGCACCGCTTTCTTCCACTTCCACCACATTGCCCATCTCCGACAATTCCTCACTGCAAAAACTGCCGAAACCCTTGTCCATGTCTTTGTTACCTCTCAGCTGGATTACTCTAGCACCCTCCTTGCCGGTCTCCCTTCTTCCACTATTCACAAAATTCAGCTCATTCAAAACTCTGCCGCCCACATTCTCACCTGCATCAAACTTTGTACCCCGATTACTCCAGTCCTCGCCAAACTCCACTGGCTCCCTGTCCCAGAGCAGATCGACTTCAAGATCCTCACTCTAGTGTTTAATCCCTCCCTGCCTTGGCACCCCCCTATCTCTCTAACCTCCTCTCTCCCCACAGCAGTACCCACTGCCTCTGCTCTACTGGGTCCGGCCTCCTCCATGTCCTCCAAATCCTCTGCTCCACCATCGGCGGCCGTGCCTTCAGCCACAAGGCCCCGAAACTTTGGAACTCCCTCCCTCAACCCCCCACCTCGCCCCCTCCTTCCCCATCTTCAGGTTACCTTCCCCCTCCCCCTGGCTCAGCCTCAGGCTCCGTCATTGTTAAGCGCTCGGAGGCACCGCCGGCATGGAGGATGCTATATAAACGCAAGTTGTTGTTGTTGCTCATTGCTTCATGACTGTTTGGAGGATATTGATGTATGCAAACTGGCTGCCACTTTCACCTACAAAGCACACAGTTCGCCCTCAAAATATACAGTCAATTCGCTTTACAGTATATTCTGTGAAGCGCTTTGGAACGTCTCCAAGATGTGATAAGGCGCTATATCAAATGTAAGGATTATTTATTATTATAGTTTTAAATCCTGTGAAGTGCACTGAGACATTTTGACTGCATGATCAGATGACATATCAAATGCAAACATTATTATTATTTTCCCTAAGTACTTGCCACGGATCTATCCCCCCACTCTTTTTCTCACTCTCTCACACACACATACTAGGTTGACTGTATTTATAGCTATATCTAAAGTCATATTCTCATGAAACATTGTACAGTAAAAATAAATCTTTTAAGGATTCGCCTTTCACTAGCTTCACTCTGATTTTAAGGTTATGTCCTCGTGTTTTGGTTTCTCTGAGTAAGATGTTCCCGCCATAATTATTCCCTGGTAATTTGATTGTTCCTATGCTGATTCCATTTCACTGAATAGCTGAGCCTCACAGGGGGAAAAGACCGAAGACTGTGCAACAGTTTGATTCCTGGTCTGTGCTGAGTCAGCTGGTGTGGTGCCACTACGGCCACTAAAACTTTGGTTATGGTTGGAAAAATTCAGCCGAGGTTCCTGGTGCTGATCTGGCTGACATGAGTATGTTGGTCTAAGGTATTGGTTTCCATCTCCACATGGCCATATAGCCCTCAGCAATCATTGTCGGGGCTCTTATGTAAATAATAGCTACTTGGTGAGGTACTTTGTACGGATCACTACTACAGCAGATTTATCTAATGAGCCAACAGAAGAGCTTTCTGCCCTTGCTCAATGTCTGTGGAGTCCTGTAGCTCAGTGGTTAGAGCATTTGCTTTGCAAGCGAGAGACCTGAGTTCAATTCCAGGCAGAGGGCGAAACCTTGGGCAAGTTTCCTTACTCCACACGCCTAATAATAATCCCTCCAAAAACAAAACAATATTAAATTGGTCATTTTCAATCCACGACTGTTTGTGGGACACTGTTGTGCGCAATTGGCTGCCGCGTTCTCCCACAAATATACAGTCAATTCACTTCACAGTATATTCTGTGAAGCGCTTTGGGACGTCTAGAAGACGTGAAAAGCGCTATATCAAATGCAAGGATTATTATTATTTCCAGGATATCAGTGTAAAAAAGTATTATTTCTGTCTGCTCTGACATGGCTTAAGTCCTGTTGAATCTGACCTTCAGATAAACCACTTCTGTGTTCATGACAGAATAGTGAGGATAGTGTGTGTTTTCCATGACGGTCTAATGATAGTGAGGAAAGGAATATAAATATAAGTTCTCCTGAGGTCTACGAGCTTTCCCTACTAGATAAGCACTTGTGCAATCTGTGTGAGTGTGGTCATTTTAATACAAAAGCAGTAAGCAAACCCAAAGCCTTCAACTTCTTGGTGCTTTGATACACCAGTTGTGAATAGGGTTTTGTGACAATGTAACCAGCTCCTACACTCAAGCTCTGACAGCGTTCTCACATTTGATAGAAAGCAGGTCTCGTGTGTGATTCCTGACCAGTTTGAAACACCTTATGAGAAAATGACTTTTTTAAAATCTTCTAATCACATCAGAGACTGAAACGAGAGAGAGAGAGACTGAGTCAGCCATTACTGTACTTTCTTGTTTGCCCAAACTAGAAATGGTTAAACAACTTCTGAAGCAGTAAATTAAGCTTCTGATAAATGATTGTTTCTCATGGGAGCCATGAGTTTGAAAATAACCCACCACTATACAAAGAAAGAAAAAAAAATCATGGCTGAGGAGTCCAGTAGAATTTGTACTCTTTGTTTCCTGTTTCTGTTCAGGCCTCTGATCAGGAAATGTTTAAAATCTGTATGGGTATTACTGTGAATTAATGGCTGCTGTTGCACAGTCTTCGGGGAACATTCCCTGCCAACAACAACATGGATTTTGTCAGCACAGGGCCTGTGATTTCCAGATAGTATTGGATGCCCATGGGAATGATCGAACGGCCTACACACCAGTGAGATCATAGCCTCTCAGCACTTTCCCTAAACCCCCAGGTTGGCTGAAGCTGACCTTGGCCGGGCTCAACATCCCTGACATCAGCTAGGAGTGCAGCTGGTGAAGTCACACCCAAACCTAGATACTGAGTGTCAGTGGGTGTGACACGTGGGAATGCTACCTCTAATGCTTGATGGAATCCTTACGGTAAGTAAACAGCAGCACATTGCACCCTGCTGGCATTTCTATCAACTGCATGTTGCCAAAGTGATGATGCAGCCTCACTCTCTGAAGTTTTTTTAGCTCCATGTTAGAGTGTTGCTGGTGTCTAATCTGAATTGCGCTGAATCTTGAAAACAGAATCGGGCTCCTTCCAATTGTTTTCCTCCTATTCTCTCCTTTCTTGGAGACATTAGGGTATGGTTCAACAGCCACTAGCACTGCACTTTTGCACCTTAATAATTTGGCTTGTAAGATGATGTTATGTTTGATATAGCTCTTTTCACATCTTCTAGATGTCTCAAAGCACTTCGCAGTACTGTAAAGTGAATTGACTGTATATTTGTGTACAAAACGCAGCAGCCAATTGCACACAGCAGTGTCCCACAAACAGTCGTAAATTGAAGTGACCAATTTATCATTGTTTTTTTCCTGAGGGATTATTATCAGGCGTGTGGAGTAAGGAAACTTGCCCAAGGGTTCACCCTGCCAGGAATCAAACCCAGGTCTCTCGCTCGCGAGGCGAGTGCTCTAACCACTGAGGTAGGTGTTAATAGCAGCCTGGAACATACAAATATGAAATCATAATTATAAAAATGCTCTTATTCACTTCTCACCTCCACTTCTCCTTCCATGATGCTGAGCAGGCGAAGAAGATCATCTTTGGAAAGTTCCATTAGTTTTTTCCTTCGTTCGCTTTCTTCTATGGACCTTGAGTGCTTCTTCACAGTGCCTGATATGGCCACCAACTTTTTTCCATCGCTTTGCCGATGTGCTTTTTTCTTCTTTTTGCTCCCAATACAAGCGTCTTCCCTTTGCTCACGATTGCTGCTGTTTGGTTGAGTGCTTGATCCATGCTCGTGGGTTGCACATTCCGCACTACTGCTGCGAGACCTCATCCCAATCTACGTTGGATAGAAAGACAGGTGAGTAGCTGCACTGTGTGAGTGGGCAACAGTTGGGTCCATTTTCAGTCACGTTAAAAGTGCACAAAAGCAACAAGAAGTTATGAGCTTGACCTTGGTTTCCCTGGTAACCAGAAATGTAGACTTCCTTATAACTCTGCTGACTCAGATAGCTTATTAGATGTCAAAAATACAGTAGAAGTCTAATGATGGGCCACTTGTTCAAAAAGGAATATTAGCATAGCAGGAATGACTCGTTCACAGTTTATTGAACTGGAATGATTGGATGAATGGAATACACTGGTTCCCACATTTGCTTATCTACTCAATTTCTCTTTTCCATTTCCTTCTATTAATTCTCTTTTATTTTTATACATTTACCTCCTCAGGAAGGCACCCATGAAGGGATGAAGTACCTATTTACACACTGAAGAGGGCGCTGTAGCTGCGTCAACAACTATTGTGCATTCACTCCCTCCCAACAGTCTCGCCCTTAGAGATGTGACTGATGCTGCATTTAGCTTGCACCTCCTATATCAAGAGGAGAGATACAATATTTTTGTATTTGGCTGTGTGTTCGGTTGCCTTCCTACCCTCACCACCTCCATCCCTGCTCAGGCTCCCACTCCATCTCTACCCAAGAAGCTTCCAAGTAAAAGAAACCCATTTGTTACCTCATTGGGAAGCGCCAGATAAAATCATGCGGATGCTTTGAGGATTAGTTTTTATTTATAATAATTTAATTCTTATTTTGTTAAATAAACATCATGATAAAGAAACCTGTGCATTCAAAGTTACAGACTTCAGGCAGTCACAAGATCGATAGCACATGTGCTTACTTCAAAGGCGGATAATGTGCCTTTCTTACGTATGTCGCAATGATCCTAACAGAGTGTATGTTACGCCTGCTTTCTTCAAGCTATTCAGGTGCCATTATATCAAGAAAAATAATCATTGCATTGTGTTGTGCACAATGAGATCAAAGTCGTTTCCATAAATTTCAAGGTGGTACTTTGATCTTGTGGTTTATATGGTGAAAAGCTGCCTGAACCCTTTCATTGTAAGCATGACTCATGTCCATCGATCATTGGGTATAAAGCAACTCTACTAATATGTTCAACGAATTGGATGTGTTACACTGGCTCATTCACAGGAGGATTAAAGGAAAACAGTGAGGAAAATACAGGTCCCAACCACACTGGAGACACTTTGTGAATGGGATGGTGTCCATGGAAATGGTGCTTTTGTGGTCATTATGGCTTGACCAAAACCAATCCAGGCCTTTCTCACCCTCATTCAAATCCTGGAGATGCAGCCACCACACCGTTCTCTACACCCTGACATGGTGGAACATGTCGTTGTCAAAAAATAAGAGCATAAAGGGAAACATTGCCTCAGCTAGAGAATTTACCAGCCAGCGATCATAATGGAGGAATGAGCTCAGGTTCACCTCTGTGATTGCCCACACAGTTGCTCCACTTTATAGTAAATCCTGTGAAGCACCTACAAGATTTTCAGACAATGTGGGTTTGGATGATACTTGTAATAATAGTGAACTTATTGTAACGCAATTGCATACATCATCATTATAATAGATTATTGGGGATTCAAAGCAATGGACATAATGGTAACGACAGCCGGTTTAGAGTCCCCATTGCCGTGTGCACAGGAAAGTTTGGAACAAAAGCAATAATCTACATCAATAGACCAATAACAACTATCCTAACCTGAGGGAAAGTTCTGCAAAGTTGCCATGACCTCCAAAGGCAAGTCAATGAAACTTGAGAATCTCAATCTATTCTTACACCTGAATTACTCAATCCCTGACTGGATACATTCCACTGGTGCCATTCCCATGGAACCAGCTGCACACAAACTAGTTGTATTGTGGTCCATAATAATAAGATAGCCTAGAGACAGGGAACAGGATGTAAATACCATAGCCCCCAAATTCCACCAAGTAAGCCAATAAAACTATTTTGTCTCAATATTTTAAGTTCATGCAAGATTATGGAAATCTTAATCTGGAAGTCACTTGTTTTAGGAACTGCAGATAAAACCAATATTCCAATATTGTACTGTTGAGATCAGTCACATACAGCACTTTGCCAGGGTGAGTGTCAATGACTTGAAGATCCTTCATTGTACAAACATTGCAATGGCGAGCTTAACAAGGCAAATGTTAAAATCCAGTACATTTCGGATACAACACTTAATATTTCAGTGACGGAGGGCGGTGAGTGTATGGGGTGGGGAGTGGGGGGGGGATTGGGGATTAATTATACAACAGATGGCATTGTCTACGGGTTACCTGGACCATTTGTGCCCGCTGATGGGTATCTTGTGGAGTCCTGTAGCTCAGTGGTTAGAGCACTCGCAAGCAAGCAAGGCACCTGGGTTCAATTCCAGGCAGGGAGAAACTTTGGGCAAGTTTCCTTACTCCACACGCCTAATAATAATCCCTCCAAAACAAAACAATAATAAATTGGTCATTTTCAATCCACGACTGTTTGTGGGACGCTGCTGTGCGCAATTGGCTGCCGTGTTTCGCCCACAAATATACGGTCAATTCACTTTACAGCATATTCTGTGAAGCACTTTGAGATGTCCAGAAGACGTGAAAAGCGCTATATCAAATGCAAGGATTATTATTATTATTATTCCCTCACTACCCCTGGGGTATTGAGTAAAATTCCCACCCTTACCCCCGCCCCAGCTGAGATCAGCTAACTCAGCACAAGCCAACAAATGATCCCAAGGTATTGCTGGTCTGAATAACTCAGATCCACACTGGACAATGCCTTTTACTAACAGATTTTTAAGAAAACTCACTGATTTAGTTTAAAATCTTAATGGTGTTTTCCATAGTTTTCAAAAGCTATGCTCCTTTGCTATTTGTGGTACTGTGCTTCAAAACATACTCTCTCATAGCAGGAAATTTGATACAGTAAACAGAGATAAACAGAAGACAGTAAACATATAGCAACTATGTAACATTTAATTTTAATGGCTTTGTTCAAGGGAAAACTTTCAAAATAAATTTCTGAAACGAAGCAAGATTTTCTGAGGCAGAAGTGTGAGACCAGCAAAGCACAATGTTGGTCGATACATGTGGGAGAAAGTTACCAGGGACGTGATATAGCTGCACAGCCCCAACAAACTGCCATTCAGAGAGAGTAAGGGGAAGTTAGAGAACGTGAGAGAGACGTCTCCAACAAAGAGATATAAAGTTAGACAGAGACAGAGAGTCAGAGAGATGAGTGTCTCAGAAACATAAATCCATAGTGTGAAAGCCAGAGAGAGAGGGACAGACAGAAAGCATTGGCACCATATTCTACGATAGTGAGAGTATAGACCCCTTGATGGAAGAAGTTTTTGGATCAGACTGTAGACAATTTGGACTTTATATGATAACCCATAATCCAAACCATTTCTATGTCCAAAATATGGCCAGACTCAATTCACACAGATAATGGGCTCTCTTCAGCATGAAACAAAACACAAACGGTGTTTGTATGTGGAATGCAAGTCTCTAGGCAAGCTTTATTTTTGTATTGGGGATTTAGAAGCCATCATTATTGTAAACTAATTTAACACCCATTTCTAATGGTTAGTACAATACAATTTACATAGACTCTTTCACGTCGGGAGGACGTGTTAAAATGTTGGATGGGCAGCTTAGCTGAGAGTGGGATGTAATGTAATGCAGTAATGGTAATGTAACGCTAAAGTTAAAAATATTGACCGAGCCGCCAGCTGTGCATAGGTCCAGCTGTTTTGCACATGCACAGGAACAGGGTCTGGATTAATTTAGATTGGCTGAGGGCTGCTTACAAAGATCCTCATAAGCCATTTCAAACTGTAGCACCACATTAGTTCCTGTTATTGTCAGGAGACAGTTACTGTCAGTCCAAAGAGCAAATTTACATCATAGGCTCAGAGCGGTGTGTGTGAGGAGGGGAAGGTTGAACATTAATGAAAAACAGTCCAAAGCTGATGTAAGGCTAATAGAATAAGAGTAAACATTAGACTAAAACCTCACAAAAACACAAGTGCATGAGTTGGATGAATGCCATATTTCAGGAAATGAGCTCAACATTACTGATGTAACTGCATCCACGCACCAACCATCCCACCCCACCCCTTCCTTAAAAATGAACAGAATAATGTAACAATGTTAATAGGGTTGAAGATGTAACATTCACAAATGATATTGCTGTGCTTATGCTCATGTGAGACATGGAGATGTCAGCCTGGCTCAGTTGGCAGAACTCTTGCCTCCCTTACGACTGACTCAGAAGGTTGTGGGTTCAAGCCCCATGTCAGGACTTGAACTCATATAATCTAAGCTGAATTTCCAATGCAATACTGGGGTGTATTGATTGTAAGAGGTCCCATTTTTTGGATGAGACCTTAAACTGAAGACCTGACTGACAATTTATATGGATGTTAAAGAAAAAAGAGGGATTTTTAACAATTAACTGGCCAACAATCCCCCAAATAAAATTGGTTAATCGTTTCATGGCTGCTCTTGGGACATTTCTGTACACAATTCGGCTGCCAGGTTTGCCTACAAATACAGTCACCCCACTTCACAGTAAATCCTGTGAACCTCTTTGAAATGCCCTCTTGACATCAAAGGCACTATACCAAAGGCAAGGATTATTATTATTATATGTAATGTGTTTTTACTGTTGGGTCATTTCAGGAGTGAGTAAGGATCAAAAGGGACAACTGTCTCCATCACTGGCGGAAGAATGGGAGTGCGTTGCCTTCTGACACTCGTCCAGGATTCTGAACCATAATAATAATCTCACAGCACCTTTCATGTGGGGAGGACATCTCAAAGTGCTTCACAGGATTTACTTAAAGTGTCACCCACAAATCACAAAGCACTCCACTTTACAGTATACCATCTAAATGCTTCCATGGTCTTGTCCAACCTACCTCTGCAACCTCCTTTACCCGTACCAATCTGGCCTTTTTCTTCACTTGGCTGA